AGAAGCTTGGCTTGGGGTCTTCAGTCGAGAACTGCTGGCCCCCTGTTTTATACTCTCTGCTCTATCATATTCCTGGCTGTTTGTCTCTTTATTAATAATTATAAAATTATTCCATTCTTTGGGACCCTCGGTCTGCAACATTCTAAGCCTGACATTTTTTTGAAAATTGGTTCTCTTTTTTTTTCCACTTTGAAAGGAGTGTTGGATAATTGTCACATGAACGGAAAGCAGTCTCGTGACACATGTTGAGGAAGAAGCAGATGTTTCCCTTGGCTTCTCTCTTTCTCACAGCGTTGCACACGGACGCTGGGCAGGCCAGCAGCTGGCACACAGGAAGTCATGTCAGACCTTCGGGCTCTCAGCGTGCACGGGCAGGGCCCTCCTTGGCTCGCCTGCCAGGGCTGGGCTCTGGGAGGTGACTTGTCTTCTGTCCAGAGCTCGTGGCATAGGGAAGGCCAGCGTCTTGGCACCAGCAAACCCTGACTCAGGAGCCATTTGGCTCGCTCCGACGTCACGCAGGATGGAGAGGCGCTGTGTTGGGAAACAGTCTGTTCTCCCTGGGAAGCTGATGGTGACTCACAGCAAACTATTAACGAGGAACCTTGCTCCCTCCTGTGCCATCCTCACAATCTCGGCCACGCTAGAGCCCTTTGCTGCAATCACTGAGTCAATTCACCTTTCTCTCTGGGGGCTTAGGGGCAAGCTGTGTTACCAACCCAAAGGTACATAGTTCAAATCTACCAGCTGCTCCTTGGGAGAAAGACAGTGTCCTCTCATGTGATTTCCAACCTCTAAAAATGCACCAGTCAGTCAGCTATGAGTCAGTGCAACCAGACAGCACAGCCGCCCAGCCCAGCACGAGGTCCTTCCCTGACGGGTGCCTGCTCACAATCAAGACACCCAAAATACGGGAGACCAAGTTCCACTGTCTCTGCCTCCAAGGAGCACCTTGGCTGCACTTCCTCCAAGTTTATTCTTCTGGACGTTTACAGTATATTCAGTATTCTTCCCCAAAAGAATTCATAACTCAAAAGCATGAATCCAAGGGAGCTCTGGTGGCCTAGTGGCAAGAAGCTGTGCTGCAATCCCAAAGGTGCACGGTTCAAATCCTCCAGATGCTCTGCCGGACAAGGAGGGGCACTCTCCTCGTGTCAGGAGGAGCAGATTTGATGGTACACAGCGATGACAACAACAACAAAAGGCATGAGCCCTTCGTATTGTGGAGACACTGGCCCTATCATTTCAGTCCTTTTCTGGGTCAGTGCTATCACTGCAACAGTGCAACTTGCACAGCCCACATCCAGGCACAGCTGACGCCTCTGTCCCTCAGCACAGACACCCGGTGCCTCAGGCTCTTAGCGCGCTGCACAGCACAAACCTGTCCTCCAAGCTCCAGCCTTTACTTCTCTAGGGCTCAAGGTGGAATGATTCGACAATTTTTTTTTTAATTTTTTTTTTTGATTCGACAATTTTAACGCCGAGTATAAAAATTGTCTTTATTTCAACGTCACATCTCGGTTTTAACTACTGCCGAGATGAGCATCAGGAAGGTATTAAGAGATCCAGTCGTCCAGCGAGCCCACTGGACAGCACTATGCAGAGAAGTATAGGAGTGAGGGCCTAACAGGTCCCTCCTACAAAAACCAACACACACAGAGAACCCCTAAGAGCACAGGCCCTGAAGGGAACATGCCAGCCGGCAGGGCAGAGTCCAACACTGGGCTCTGGACTGATCCAACAGAGGTCTTACTTAGCCCCATTTCCTTTACCTATTCACGGTGACCGCAGAAATCCCACTGGACGTCCTTGGATTAAAACACAAAGTGTCCACAATGGACTGTGGCATCTCCTTCTGCCACATGACCATGCAGGTCCACGAGCAGAAGGAAGGAGGCTGGCAGAAGGATCCAGAGGAGTGTGGGACATGGTGTGGGTTTATGCTTGCTAAGAAAGCCCCCAGTGCTCCCTGCCTCCCGGTGGGCACGTCCTTGTCAGCCCCATCCCTGGAGTGTGTGGGGCGAGACCCAGGGAAGCGAAGACGGCACAGTGACGGGACATCGTGTCCAAGATTTGACTGTGAGACAGCACTCTCAACTGTACATGAAGGAAGAAACAAACTGGCAAGCATATTCATTGTATTAATTTTCACTATCTCCACTTAAAGTTTTTAAACTGTTTTATTGGTTTCTGAACGTGTAATAAAATCCCCAAGTGTTTTAGTAATAAACAAAAACAAGGGTAATAAAATTCCCAGTGTTTTGGTAAGAGAAAGACTGTACTCTCCTTGGCTTTTTCCACTTGCCTCCTCTGATGAGGCAGGCTGCCATGTTGTGAGTGGCCCATGGAGCCCACGAGGCCAGGAACTAAGGGGCAGCCTTTGGCCAAGGGCCCCAAAGAAACCCAAGTCCTTAGTCCACCTGCCTGAGGAGCTGAATCTGACGTCAGCGAGAAGGTGGGGAGGGAATGAATCCTCCCCTTCGACTCTGGAGATGACCCAGCCCCGGTGACAAGTTGATTACAGGCTTGTGAGAGTCTCTGAGCCCAAGGACCTGCTAGGCCGTCCCCCGAGGCCCACAGGTAACAGGTTAATAAGCACATGCTGGTCTAGGTTACTACATTTTGGGACAATCTGCTCTACCAGAACAGGTAACTCGCACTGCAGAATAACAAACACAATGTGTTTCAACACTGACTGCCTTTGATTCCAACGCCTGCTGACCTCATGGACAGAGCAGAACTGCCCCTGGGTTTCCCAGGGCTACGTCTGTACAGCGGCATTCTGACTTACCTTTTCCCTCAGAGGCCTGGTGGATCTGAACCACTGACCTTTTGGTTAGCAGTAGAATGCTCAATCACTGCATCACTAGAGCTTCTTAATAATGGGCTTAGAAGAGTGAAAAATTTTAATACTAATTATAAAGTTATGAATTAGTTACGCAGGGTGGACTAAGCCAGCTGAGTTTATGCTACGAGAAAGAAGAGGGAAGCTCCACACCCCGGACCAGGAGCACATCATGGTGCAAATGACATTGCTCTGGGATTCCTGCAGGCCCTTCTGACTCCTGCACTCGACATCAACTCTCTGAAAATCAATCTCCATGGCAGCATTTCTCCAGCAGGCTTTAAAAATAACACAATAACATAAAACATTATTTGGTCCCTCTGGCTGTAGAGACTTTGCTATAAAACTCTTGATTTGCACAGTTGAACATCCCATTTGAAGTGAGCGCATCCACTTCAGTGAAATGTCTAGAGAGCAGTGACAGGAAGGGGGTGAGGAGCTAGTGTTGTGGGGTTGGAGGGAAGGGAGTATGGGGAGTGTCTGCTCACAGGCACCGGGTTTCTTCTGGAGGAGGGAGAATGTTCTGGAACTAGATGGCAGGGACGGCTCTGACCCTAACGACCCCACACACAGTGGACGGAAGCCCTGCCCGGTGGAAGCCTGTGCCGCCCTCACAGCCGGCTGTGTGTAGACCCAACGCTGCAGTCACTGTGTCAGTCAGATTGCCGAGGGTTGTCTTCTACTTGGCCAAGATTTTTTTCTCCTTAGTAATTTCACAGGTTCAACACGCAGGGGGGTGGTGGGTGTATGAGCTGTGAGAACGTTAAGCAAAACCAACCAACCACAAAAATCATCCCCAATTGTGTAATTATAAATAGTGAAACGCATTCTGAGATTTTAAGATTTCAAGACATCATGCCTGGAAAATGCGAAGGTCAGTGAAAGAGAGACAGACTCTCCCTGAGATGGCAGGACGTGGTGGCTGTGATGATGGGGCTGTGCGCGGCTGAGGCCGCCAGGACCTGGGCAGGGTCACCGTGTCCTGCTCGAGGGCACCTACCCACCAATGGTGAGGCGAATAAAGTGAGCAGAAACCAAAGAAGGGGAGCATCTCCACTGAAGCACAGCCCCGAACAGTTACCCCTCCTCCTCCAGCACCCCACGGAACGGCGTCCGGGGACAGGAGGAGGGAGCGGGGGTCTCACCACGGGTTCAGATGTGCATCTTCTGGGAAAATGACACACAAAAAGTCTTCCTCCAGTAACACGCTCTTATCTTTCAGATGTGTTTCAGCTCAGGAATTGTGAAGTTCATTTTCTCAGCCTTTAAACAGAATTTTTACATCCTTTTTTTAATGTAAGTCATCCCTGACTTGACATTATCTGAGCTATGACAAACTGCACTTGCGACCGTCCAGGGTTGTGTTGATTTTTACACACATCTCATTAGTGTCAAGTTCCATACACACACTTCCCAGCACATGACCTGCTGGTGGTGTCATTCTCACGGACAACCCCTAAAGACAAAGGTCAGCTTTATAAAGACAATGTGACCAAAAGAGAACATAAGGGAAAAACCCGAACCAACCAACCACAACTCAAAAAACAAAACCAAACGCAAACAATCAGAAAGACAACTAAACCACTGAAAGGTGTGGGAACAGAGCACTGGGCTCTATGTATTTAACTGACTGTCCCAGCTAGTCAGCAAATGCATTTAAAGGGGGAAGAAAAGTGCAAATCCTTCCGCAGTCAAGACTGCCATTCCAGGTGCTCACTATTTATTTCACCTTTGTAGACACAGCTGAGGGGCAGCAGACTCCCCACATGTTGGTGAAACCCACTTCGTGTGCCACACCCCACAAGACCCTTCCTATGATGTGCCAGTATTTTAAATCAGGGCAGGATCGTTCAGGAAGAACAGAAGAGAGAAGAAGCCACTGACAACCAAAAACATGATTAAAAACGGGAGATGGATACAAGGAAGAACATCACCTCTGAACGATTATCACTGGTCGGCCAGGATTCCCTTCCTCCACTTGTTTTCAATGCCCAGTGTCTGTAAACTCTGATAGCGACTCCGGCTGACTCCACAGTCTCAGTCCTCGGGCTCGTGTCCCGAGCGTCACCCGGCATGGGGTGACGGGGAAAGCGACGGCCTCTCCCGACACACTGCGGTCCTCCCTTCTGGAAAGAGCGAGCCTGTCGCGTGCACTTGGTCAGATACTCCGGTAGTCCGAACCCCGGGCCACAATGGCAGCGGCTTCCCACTCCACGGTGAAGAACGAGACTGCTCCAAAAAACCCGCAGAGCACCATGAGCAGCAGCTGCCAGTGCAGCAGGAGATAGTTGCTGTAGAAGAACGCCACGGCCGCGCAGATGGACTAGGGGCAAGCAGAGGAGACGGTCACTAAGCCGACACAGGCCGCTGAGCACAGGCTGCTCCTCCCCTAAACCCACGCCCACCGTGCGTCGGCTGTGCCTCGTGGAGCCCCTCTGAGGGGGTAAAGCCTAAAGGGACGAGCCCACCCATCTTAAACCGGTGGATTCAAATAGTTGACCTTTCACTTCGCAAAACTTAACCAACTATTCTACCCGGGCTTCCGATTCTAAACACCATGTTTCTAAAAAGACGCCCTTGACTTTTGTGGAGAAAACTGCAATATAGGCATCTGTGTGACGTCAACGGTTAATATGCTCGACTGCTCACAAGAAACGGGGCTGTGAGTCCACGTGGGCAGCGCAGAAGAAAGGCCTGGCAGCCAGCTTCTGCAAAGCGAGCCCAAGAAAACCCTCCGGGAGCAGCTCTACTCTGACAGGTGTGGGGTCGCCGGCAGCCAGGACCAACTGGGCAGCTGTGGGTTTAAACGGTCTACCTTGCACAGGTTGCACATACGTGTTCAGCCATGAGGTTACCTGGACGAACTTGAAGACGGCGAAGGCCGGAGCACTGTCTTCAGCGTAGAGGAAGCCCAGGATGCTGAGTAGCTGCGTGTTGAAGCAGCTGTCCCCGAGGCCCAGCAGGAAGCTGCACAGGATGGCCACTTCTTTGCTGGATGGAGGAGAGAGCGCCCAAGAGGGTTACCCGATGTGCTAGTTAGCCGCAAAGTTTCAAGGAGCACAGACCTGCAAAGGCACTTCTGGCCATGCTGCAAACACTACAAAGACTGAACGCAGGAAATGTACAAAGAAAGAATGTGCACCGAACTCACACGCCTTCACATTCTAGGGGAGTCATCTCTGAGTGCTGGGATTCCTCTGGGAGGGTGGGCTCCCACGGCCTGATGCTCTATGTAAATGCTTGTACCTGTTACACGTCTGGGAACTGAGGACAATGAGACAGTCCCAGCAAAGCCGTGCATCCCGTGCCTTGGTGCCGATTCTGACTCGTAGCAGCCCTGAGGGCAGCGGCGAAGGCTCCACGGGGTAAGGCCATCGACTGTGTGGAGTTGCCACGTCGATCTCCCTCAGAGCAGCAAATGGGTACGAACTGCACACCTCTGAGTTAGCAGCGTTAACCCCTGAGGCCTAACGGGCAGCTCTGAGACAACTCCACAGCCGGCCCTGCAAATTCCCCATGAGTCCTTCGTTTCTCCTCTCAGGCCCTACCTCTGGATACCCTGCTGCTCAAAACAGCAGAGCTGACAGAGTGAACGCACACGCTCAGGCTCTCACACACCTAAAAGATTCACTGGCGGGTCAAATCCACCAGGTGCTCTGGACGAGGAGGGACAATCTCCTCTATACCAGTCAGATTCGCTTTGACGGTACACACATTAAAAAATTGAAATAAAAAAGAAAAAGCACTGGGATGTGGGGGAAAGGACCACATTAGCAACAGAGTTTGGGATTCCCCTCTGATTCCAATTTAAACCCGTTCTGGCCTCACCAATCCTTGACAGATGATCTATGTTACTCCACCCCAGACTGCTCGAAGAACCTTAACTGCTCAGTCTCATTGGCCAGCATCGCCCCAGCTGTTCTGACGTGACTTGAGGCGGCCACCAACGTACCTGGGCGTGATGTAAGCGCTGCTGTCAGTCCCTTGGACGGGCGCAATGGGCGCATCCCCGGGGATGTTGAGAAATATCAAGTAAAAGGCCACAAAGTGCACCAGGAGGCCCAACAGCACAACCGGATTTCGGCCACAGCGATGGTTCTTGCTCAGAAGGCCGAAGAGGCTTCCTCCTGCAGGTGGCGAGGGCAGAGACGAGGCTGACCAGCTGACCAGGGGTCCCCAGTTAGGACCCCAAAGTCAGTGGGGAGGGCAGAGACAAGGCCAAGCAGCTGACCGGAGGTCCCCAGTTAGGACCCCAGAGCCATGGCCTCTAATGTTGTGTCTTCAAGAAATGCAACACCGCAGTCATGACCACACGCTCCTGTCAGGACAAAAGCAAGGCCCCTGTACACACCTTCTGTTCACGAAGGCTCTGGGTTTCCTCTCTGGGAATTACTGTAGCCTTTAATCCACTGTGTGAAACACACAAAGATCATTTCGGGCTGTTAACAGAAAGGTTCGAATTCACCACTAGCTGCTCCTCTCTCCTGGCGGGCACCACGCGTGGGGACAGATTCCACACCAGGTGGGTTTACACCAGGAGTCTGAATCAAACCAGTGCTAACTGGCTTAATCCTGTCAGAGGAACTAAGTAACCTCCTCAGAGGTGAATCCTCTGTGAAATGTCACAATTATGTGTCAGCTTGCAAAACACAAACCCGCTGTCACTGACCCCAGTCGTGCTGACCCTGGGCTGGGCCTGAGGCCGTGCAGACTGTCTCCTCTTTCTCCAAGCAGCAGCTAGGAATGCTACTACTGGGAATTTACCCTAAAGAAACCATAACCACCACCCAAGCAGATAGATGCACACCCATGTTTACTGCTGCGTTGTTCACAATAGCAAGGAGTTGGAAACAACCCAAATGTCCATGAACAAACGAATGGCTAGAGAAGCTGTGGTATATTCACACAATGGAATACTATGCAGCATTGAAAAACAAGGAACTCATGCAATGTTACACAAAGTGGGTGATCCTGGAGGACATTAAGCTGAGTGAAATATCTCAGTCACAAAAGGACAAATACTGCATAGCGCCATTGTTGTAAAATGGGACTGACATTGGGGTTGAGGGGAAAACTAAGAGAGGGGATAAATAATGTACACTGTATTGAAACATAAGTGGGAAAGAATTGCTTAAAAGTAATATATGATTAGATATCATTGGCATGTCAAGAGTCCAGAATAAGAGTTACACAGTAAGTGGACTGGGAGCGGGAATTGTAGAACAACAAAAGAGTATTTTTTCAAAGAAAAGGCAAACTGGGGGGGGGGGGCAGGGAGGAAAATGTGCAACAATGGATGAATGGAAATCCAAGTTCTCTATAAACTTTCATCAAAATCTAAATAAAAAGGAAAAAAAAAGAGTTCTCACTAAGTGTAGAAAAACAAAACAAAAACCAGTACAAATACCCAGAAAATAGTCTTCCTTAGGAGTGACCCAGCGATTACACTCCTGGACGTACATACGAGAGAAGACTTATCTTCAAATAGTAATTTGTACCCAAAATGCGTAACAACTTTACTCATAAAGTTCCAGATTAGCGAAGCCCTAAAAGGCTGCAAGTGGCGGATAGTTCAACTCACTGTGGGATGTTCTCACCACAACTGCTGCCGTTAGGTGCTGCCACGTGGGCTCTATGTCCAGCAGAACAAAGCCCTTCCGCTCCTGTGTCACCTTCCCGGTCAGCAATAACCGAAGAAGGAAGTACTGATCCCCACAGCACTGCAGATGAGCCTTGGCCAGGACTGACTGGGGTCGCCCTGAACTAATTTGGCTCAGTTGTGATTCTCGGGATTCTACAACGACCTGATGGGTAAGTCTGACCTCTGGTGGCATCGACTGTAATACAAGTGGCGGTCCCTTCCTGTAGAGAACCTGCCAGGTCTTGACAGTCAGGATCAACTCAACGGGTTTTAATTCTATCCCACCTTGATCCCCTTCAAACTGGCTGACCTCTTAAACGTGACTGACTGTGATCCGCCCTCGAACTCATAACCCACCGCTGCTCAGCCGATTCTGACTCACACCGACCCTCCGCTGGGCCTCCAAGGCTCTGGCTCTATGGGAGAGTACTTCTCTTTTCCCTGCAGAGCAGCTGGTGGATTCAAACAGCCAACCTTATGGATGGCAGCCCAACAGTCGACACTGTGCCAGCAGGTCGCAGCTCTGATTGGTTGGGAGGGGAGCTGCCCTGGGGTGTGACCTGTATCACCTTTTGTTTTAAAATGGACAAAATCGAGAAAGCCAGCAGAGAAGAGGGACCCCTGTACATTAAGAAAGAAGAGTAGGGAGTGGAGAGTGCTTCGGGCCCGAGTCCCTGTGCTGAGAATTCTTCCAGAACCAGGAGACAGAGAGGAGCCTTCAGAGCTGGCAGCGTGCATTCAACCTTCCCGCCTCCTCAACTGCAGACAGTAAGCTTGTGTTTAAGGCCATTCACCTGCGGCATCTCTGCTAACGCAGCACTAGATGACTCAGACCTCAAGGAAATTTGGCTGAGCGAAAACAATTCCAAAAGGACACACTTGAAGCAACTGTGAAATGGCATTCATTATGGGAACTAAGACAAGACAGTGGTTGTGGGGGGAGAGAGAACAGGTGAGGCTGTCAAGGTGCCTGGAAGTCTTGTGACTGAGGTCCTGACATGCTGGTTACACAAGGCCAGCCATGTGACAGCACACACACTGGGAGTGCAGGGGCAACGGCGATGGGGAATGAGCTCCCGAGCTGCACAGCTCACTGCCAGCGCGGATGCCATGGCGGTGCTGGTCCTGGTGCTGGATGGCTCCCGTCGGAGCGTGGATGCGTGTACCGTGGTGGTGCCGGTGCTGGATGGCTCCTGTCGGAGCGTGGACGCCGTGTACCATGGTGGTGCCGGTGTTGGATGGGTCCCGTCAGGGTGTGGACGCCGTGTACCATGGTGGTGCCAGTGCCGGTGCTGGACGGCTCCCGTCGGGGCGTGGACGCCGTGCTGGTGCTGGATGGCACCCGCTGAGTGTTCTGAAGCAGCCCTGCGGCTGGGCAAAGGGCCCCTTTCCAAATGTCTTCACACTCCTTAAAGGATGTGCTCTAGCAAAGCAGGTGTGAGCCTAGAAGAGAGGGAACCTGTCTCCAGCGATTAAGAGGTGTCTCCAGGTACACAGAGTCTCCCAGTTTTTTATTTTCGCTCCCTCCTGTACATATGGGGAGGTGTTTAATAAGAGTTCACTAGATCTGAATGTAAACAAGTTATGTGCACTCCTAACTGAAAAATTCACACTGGTATACGCTGCCTAACAGCAAACACATCTGTGGTCCTCCAGGCTTAAGGCCTTTGTTTTAAAAAACAAACTAGGAGAACAAAAGCCGCTCTCCTTTTGCTTATGATTTCCCACTTGTGGTTTTAAAGACCCAAGTCCCCTCCTGCAGCACTAGACCATGGCGGGAAGCAGGCAGGGGGCAGAGCACACGCCGTCTGGTGGGCGAGGGGACAGGCGGCTCCTCCAGCTGCTCAGGTGGGTGAGACGGCAAGCGGGGCAGGGGAGGGGGTGCGGCAGGACTCACCCCGCTCCCTTCTCACTCCGCTCCTGCTGCTGCTGCCACTTCCACCAGCCTCCGCGGCAGCTCCCCCAGCAACAGCAGCAGCAAAGATCTGCAAGCACCTATAAAGTTTTCATTTGGTTTCACACAGTGTCCAAATCACATCATGTCCTGTTCTGTGAAATGCAACACCGACGTTATCATCGTGCACCCCAAAACCCCCCGTGAAACAAATCCACAGCTCTCTGGTTGACGGCAACTCATAGTGATCACAGGACAGAGCAGAACTGCGCGGCAGGGTTCTCAAGGCTGTCACTCTTTAGACGGCCCCATCTTTCTTCCACCAAATAACCAACAGGTTTGAACCATCAACCTCTCGGTTCACAGTAGAATGCAAAGGGGCCACCAGAGCTCCTGGAATGACGAAAACACGTGTCCTCAAGATTTAAGCCCATCATGTGACACAGAGGTTGGATGATTTCACTAGTAGATTCCAAAAGTAGTGCATTTGGGTAAGGACGCTGGCAAGGAGCGGTCAGAGTGGACAGAGAGGTCTCAGAGGCCCAAGAGGATCTGCTGTTACTCTTGCAAGGAACAAACACTTCACAGCCTGGGTAAAGTATAAAGAATGGAGCGAGGGTCTAAGAGATTAAACACACAAAGACGGGCAAACATAAGACATCAATGTCAAGGTTAATGTTGTATGTCAACATGGCCATGACCCTCAGTGTAATGCAACTATTCTGTGTGCTGTAAATTCTAACCTCTGTGATGTTGACAAAGCAAGATTATATCCTACCTGTAAAGCCATGCTGGGGTTTTATCTGATTAAGGACAGGTCTTCTCAGGAGCGTGACCTGGTTGGTACAAAGGCGTGGATGCCGGTGGGAAGCTAGAGAGAGCTTTGTCAGGTCTACAACCAGCTGTCTGTCTTGTGGTCTTCAGACTCAGGCAACAGCCTTCGGTCCCTGCTGCCTCTGGTCCGCCAGCCGACGACCTGAACTCTGTCCCGAACCCCCTCTGGCCCCCAGGCCTCCATCCTGAGGTCTGACCTATACTCGGGACTTTGCTCTAGAAGCATGTGAGCGACTTCCTTGAAATAAATCTCTCCCTCCCTCCCTCCCATAAATTCTTCAATTGCTTCACATACATGGAAGACTCGGACACTGAATACGGAAGATGAAAGAAGAACTGATGCCTTTGAGTTGTAGGCTTGGCACAGAGCCCTGAGCAGCTCACAGACTGACAAAGAACCATCGCGTCTGTCATGGGGAAAGGGCAACCAGAGCGTACCTGAGAGACAGGAATGCTAAAGCTCAGTCACACGCACCTTTGGGCCAATTTCTGGAAGAGACATTGTTGTTGAAGAGACATTATTCTGGGAAAAGCAGAGAGACAGTGAAACGGAGGAAGATCTACAAGACAGACGAATACAGTGACCACAGCGGGCATGGGTGTGCAGGGACAGGGCAGGCCGGCCTGACACGGTGACCACAGCGGGCGTTGGTATGCAGGGACAGGGCAGGCCAGCCTGACATGGTGACCACAGTGGACATGGGCATGTGGGGACAGGGCATGGCGGCCTGACACGGTGACCACAGCGGACGTGGGCATGTGGGGACAGGGCAGGCCGGCCTGACACAGTGACCACAGCGGACGTTGGTGTGCGGGGACAGGGCAGGCCGGCCTGACACGGTGACCACAGCAGGCGTGGGCGTGCGGGGACAGGGCAGGATCGGGCAGGTTTTTAATCTGCTGTAAAGAGCCAGGAGGAGCTTCAGTGACTTGACGGCACTTAACAACAGAGAGCCCGGCCCGAGACACTCAACATGACAACTGAGTGTGACCCGAGGTCCAACACAGGTGCCACGGACACTGCCCCAAATGCTGGGGCCCTCTCACGGCGGCAGCAGCAGCATCGGGGAGGCACAGACCCGAGAGCTGGCTTAAGGGATGGCTGGGCAGCCCCCCTGACATAAACAAGCCTGCAAGGTTCTCAGGACAGACACAGGAGGATTCGCCTGGAGACAGGACAGCCTGGCGGAGCTGGAGCAAGTCTTCAAACGTCGGGAAGGCCGCTGCCCTCGAGGAGGGACGTGCTTATGCTGGGGCAGCACACAACCAGCCAGCGGAAGCGGGTGAACGTCCCCAGAGGCAGCACCTTCAGGAGCTTCCCGGCCACCTGAACAGGCTGCTAAACACCTGGGGTAAAGGGACGGGAATGAAGAAGTAATCCCCGACTCCAGAGACTAGACAAAGCACAACAAAGTGCTTGAAAAAGAGAAACGAGACGGAAACCAGGTCGGCTAAACAAAGGACACCGGTGGGGGCGCGTGTGGCGTGCCAGTGAAAGGCTGGCAGCAGAGCCCCCAGCGGCTCCCCCAGCGGCTGCAGGACAAAGATGGGCACTTCCCTCCCACTTTGATTTACAGCCCTGGAAACCAGGTGAGGGGTGGGTTCTGAGTCAGCACGGACCCCACAGCAGGAAGGCTAGTTTCTGAGTTTTAGAATTTAATCCAGAAACAGGAGAAAGCATAAAAAATGCACAACAGCAGGGAGTAATCACGGACACTGGACGCTTAGAGGAGCAGTCCAACACTAGGCAGGACCGAGTATCGCATCTTCACCAAAAGCGCTCCCGTGAGCTCCGCGGCTTGGGTCTTGGCAGGTTTCCTCCTCCACATCAACAACCCCGTGTACCTGTCAGCTGAAGCTATGAGGTGTGCGTGATCTGAGCCAGGCAAGTTCACTGGCTTCGCACGCTGAGAAGGGTGGATGGATCATGAATCAGGAAGACCAAAGGGGGACCGAAGCCGCCCAACTGTGGTGCTGGCAGAGTATTAAACACATCAGGAACCGCCAAAAGAACAGACCGATGCGTCTTAGAAGTGGGTTAGACAGTGCTCCTTAGAAGCAAAGGCTGAGGGGGCAGGGGGAGCCTTCAGCTCAGGGCTAACCCGTTGGGTGAGAGGCCAGAGGGGGTTCCTCTGTCTTCCGCTGAGTGCTAAGCCCTTAGAAGGGTGGAGGGGCAGAGGGGCTCCTTAAGTCTTCAGCCTCCAAAAGGATTAAGATATTAAGACAGTAGGTAGGTACTGGGGCCGTGGGAGCCCGGTTGGCACAATGGTTATGCAGTTGGCTGTTAACTGAAAGGTTAGCAGTTTGAACCCACCAGTGCGCTGCATGAGACAGATGGGACAACCTGCTTTCCTAAACATCGCTACAGCCTCAGAAACCCCTGGAACAGTCCTGCTCACCGGATAGACAGGCCCACTCTGTATCAGAGTTGACTCAGCGGCAGTGGGTTTGACTTTGAGGGCCTAGCGAGGGCCAGAAGAATGCCTGGTCCTACCAGTCAGACTGGAAAAGCTGATTCTCAAGCAATGGGTGGAGTCCACACCAGAACCTTCTCCCAGCCGGTAAACACTTGGGGTAAAGGTACAAGAATGAAAAAGAAATCCCCAGTGACCAGGCTGAGCTCCTCTCTGGCCCCACCCAATAGGTCTTCTGAGTAAATCTGAGAGGACCCCACTGTCCCACGTAACTGCACCCAAGACAAAGCTCAGTATTAGTTGTCATTGTTATGTGACCCTCTGTACCATAGCTCTAAACCCTGCCCTGTCCTGAGCCAATCTCACTGCTTCTGACACACCTTACTCCATTACCCCAGTTACCGTGTCAATCCATCTCATCCAGGGTCTTTCTCACCTGCGCTGTCCCTCCACCCTTCCAAGCATCAGGTCCTTCTCCAAGGACTGGTGCCTCCTGGCAACATGCCCAAAATATGTGAGACGGAGCTTCAAGGAGCAGCTTGGTTTCACCCTCTTCAGGACAGCCCTGGTTTTGTTCCCTTGGCAGCGCCCAAAAAGACTAGGCCTAACTGGACAAAATGTGCAGTCAGGTAACCAATAAAAATCGTCACACAGAGAAGCAGGAGAGCACGACCCATGAGAGGTGAAGAATCCGCCGCAGAGAAATCCTACGACCCAGCAGTGCTTCTCTTGATGCACTGTTAACAGAACCCTGCCCAGTGCTGCAGCTCGCTGGCCATCTCTGCTGCACGTCAGCTCACGTCAATCCGTCTCACCGCGGACCTCCTCGCACACTCCACCACGCAGGACGTCTCTCTTCAGGAACCAGGCCCTCCTAATAGAAGGCTCACACTACGGGAGACCAGGTCTCACCATCCTCTCCTCTCAGGATCACTCTGGTTGCAGGTTTGTTTGTTCTCATTGCCGTTGATGGGACACTCAATACTCTTCACCAGCACCAATTCAAGGCATCGATTCCTCTTCAGTCTTCCTGATTCATTGTCCTGACTTTCATATGCACGCTGAGGAAGAGGAAAAGACCCTGGTTTGGGCCAGGCGCCCCTTCGGTCCTCAAAGTCGTAGTCCGTGCTCCTGAGCACGTTAAAGGGGTCCTCTGCAGCAGGAGCAAGGCCACGGGGGTTTGGTTTCCTGCCTGCCATGGCCATTGATGTGGACCCCATGAAAACGTGAGTCCACACAGAAACATGTCCACACATATTCACACCAAGCAAAGGGTGTGCGCAATCCTAACATCGATCATAGCAGAGGAGGTAAATAAACGTGGCCTGTTCATGCAACGGTCTATGTTCTCTCACAGAGAGACACAGGTGAGGATCTGTTAGTTCACACAATGTGTGTATAATAAACACTTGCGGAATTAATGCTTGCCTCGCACCAAACCCAAAGCCAGTATTTTTCAGGTGGCGGATCTATCCTGGCTGAATGAAGGAATCACTACAAGCTGGGGTCCCTTAAGTATGTGAAGAGCAAAGTGTGAGAGACCCAATTTCCTTGTTTACAGTCTCACCATGAATTATTTGGCAAATGTTTTTACATTAAAATAGTGCAAATAAAGAAAAGCATACTCTGGGCATATTGTCTGAAGGGGTCAGTCCTTAGAAAAAGAGATCACCTGGGAGAGGTGGAGGGTCGAGAAAGAAAAGAAGACCCTCAATGAACGGGATCGACCCAGTGACTCTACCAGAGAGGCCGGCATGGCAGAGATGTTGAGGAGGGTTCAGGACAAGGCAAAGTCGCCACCTGCTCACAGGGTCACAGAGGCAGAGTCCACTGGACGGCACCTAACAACAACAGCAACTGAAAAACCAAGCCTCACTGGCTTGAGAGAAAAACACGGCAGAGAAGGAATTCAAGAATAAAGACAGGAAGGACCTTGATCAGGTACAGTATAACAGTAACAAACAGGATTTCTTTTTAAAGGCAAACTTTTTTTCCAACCAACCTAAGATTTCTCCAATGCCGATGAAAATGCCAGAGAGTCCAATGAGGCTCTTCTCCTCTGTCCCAAATTTGTTGACAGCACCAATGCAGGTTCCGTAGACCCCAGTGAAGAAAGTCAACTCCAGACCTTGGGGGGAAAAATCAGCTGTCAGTTAACCATGCGGAAGACAGTATACTTTCTGGGCTCATTTCGATAGTTAATCATACTTTCAGGTTCTCGTTTTCCTACGTTTCCTTCATATCCAGTCGTACTGGAGCCACACGCGTATAAAAGGAACAGACTGAACGAGTCCTTCAGTCCCGGGTCAGCAGGGCACAGTCTTACACTGAATAAAGGGGGACACTCAGTTAGCTACAAGATGCAGGTGCTGCACAGCCCAGAGAAGATCACGGCCCTCGGAGAAGCCCAGCAGTCCTGAGTCAGTGAGCTGGCGGGGACGCGCAGAGGGTGTTATTAACCAGCGGGGGAGTGGACGCTGAGGTGCACATTATGCTTCTAACAGCCTCCCTGGGCAGTAAGAACCAGCGCACATTACCCGTTGTTGCTTAAAAGCACAACAATAGTCAAATTAATCCATTTCCTCAGAAAATTCCAAACACAGAAATAACAGTACTCAGGAGAGGTCCTTGATGCCTCAATGCTATAGTTCGACTGTAAACTTTAAAGCTGCTTCACGCTTTTTCTTAGGAGCCCTGGAGGCACGATATTTAGGCACTCAGCAGGTTTTTTGATCACTGTTTTTTTCTAGTTATGTGCCGTGAAATCAGATCCGACCGGCACAGGAGTAGATTGTCCGTCCTTCTCCAGCAGAGCTTTGGTGGCTTTAAACTGCACATCTTTGGGACTGCAGCGCAGCTTCTTGCCACTAGACCACCAGAGCTCCCTAGGAACTCAGCCGTTAATGGAAAGGTCAGCAGTTCAAACCCAGCCCGAGGCTTTGCAGGAGAAAGAACTGCCAATCTGTCTCCCCAGAGAGGCCAAGGAGGCAGCTCCTCTGTCACACCAGGTCAGGATGTGACAGCACTGACTCAACATCACGCAATCTTACGGTTTATTCTGGAGACCCTGCATGGTGCACACAGTAAATGCTGGGCTGCTAACCAAAACGCTGGAGGTTCAAGTCCAGGTACGAGAGGAGTCACAGAACGACCTTGTAAGCCACCTTTGAAAGTCAGTGATAAAGGCCTTGCCTGGTGCACACGCTGTCACCATCTGATAATACGGACTCAGGAAGGACCAATGATTAAGAAGCTTTATTTTATTTCTGCTAAAAGTAAGATTTTGTTCCTAGGAAGCACATAAAGGCCAAGTACGTTAAAAGCACACTGCAATATAAAAGGATGTCCTCATCATCTGACAGTCTAAAAGCGGCCACCTATTATCCTGTGACGCTGTTTTGCTGTGAGGTGCCGTGAAACCGGCTCTGGTTCAGACCAGTCGGTGTACACTGCCATCCTTGCGTGGTGACCCACGTTGACGATGCCATGTCATCGGAAACCACCTGAATCCACACAAAGATACAAGAGTGTAGACACGGGGTTGTCTGTTGGGGCCCATGGCCTACAAATCTCTACGTATCTGCAGCACAAGACTCTCAAAAAGAAGGATCAACAGAGGCTGCCACGGGGCTCAGGCTCATAGGGGTGCAGGGACAGGGAGGACTAGACGGCGTTTTAACCTGCGTACAGGCACGGCCGAGTCTGAACCAAGGACTAACGTGAAGAAAAGCTCACAATCATCCGCCAGGAGAGACACATCAACGACGACAGTGTTCACAGCCAACAGCGAGGCTGGGGAGGGTGTGCAGGGCCTGGACTCTGTCCTGCCGTGGGCATGTAACAGGGAGCAAGCAGTATGGAAAGCAGCGTGGTGCTTCCGTAGAAAGCGGAGGAGAGAGACACTGTTTGATCTCGCAGTCCCAGTACTAAACATACGGACACAAACACACCCTGTGTTTACTGCAGGCTTGTTTACAAGAGCAAGGGCTGGAAGGAACTCAAGCGTCCATCACAGAGAGATGGCTAAAGAAATAGTGGCACACTCACACACGGGGCATTATGCATCACTGAAAAAGAATCACGGATTTGTGATATACTGCACAAGAACGAATCCAGAACAAACTGTGCTGAATGACAAAATCAGTTACAAGAGAGCAATTACAGCATAAAGCCACCATTGTAAAAACTAAGAAAAGGTGTACATGCAGGTGGAATTAAGCTTGGAGAATAGAAGAGAAGGGAAGGGTAAGGGAAGAAAAGTTAACAGACAAGATGAGGGAAAGGCGACACTAGAAGGGGCTGATTACCCACTGTTGTTAACTACATTAATCAACGGTAATGTTAAAATACAAAGTTTATGAATGACTGAAAGAACTGATTTATAAATTTGGTCTCAAAAAATTATTATAAAATGAACTCAAACAACTCCACCATGAATTGTAAACCTTCACTCATACAAAACGACAATCTCCAAAGAACGGAGCATCAAGTGACCCTTCCCAGGCCTCAGACCCTTGTGCAGACTCTCCTCACGCTCAATTCGGGTTGACCCCGGGATGCGCTCGGACCAACGCAGAAGGCAGGGGCAGGGGGCTGCTGGCCAGCGTCAGGCCCTAACAAGACCTGGTCATTCTCCTGTCCTTCCGGGAGGCTTGTCGGGATGTAGGAAGTCTGGCTGTCCTGTGGGCTCGTCAAGAGAGGATCCCACGGAAGGCCAGGCAATGGCCAAGATCCGGAGACTAAGGGCACGGAGAGGGCTGTCTCCGCAGCTGACACGGCACCAGCACGGGCAGGAGGCTATCTCGGAAGTCCGGAGTCAGCTGCCCTCTGGGAGCCGCCACGAGAGCGCTCAGGAGACCCCAGAGGGGCCAGTCACAACGTCCCCGACGACTGCAGCACACAAACCCGGGGGCTGCTGTATGCGTTAAGCATTGTGAAGCAGGAGAACAGCGCAAGCGCATCGCACGCCTACCTGTGTACGCCGTGGTGGCGCTCAGGAGCAGCATCTCCTTGGTGACACACAGCTTAAGAGACTTTTCTGTAAAAGGAAAACAAATTCACAGTACATGGGGCTCGAATCAACACGACGCGTACTGTAAAGCACTCGCCCACCTACCACCCCCCTTTGGAGGTAACTCCAGTGAACACACACACTGGGACAGGTGCTAGGTGCCTGATAAATCCCTGCAGGTGTTAGCTGCACAGACAAAATACTTCTCTCATGATAAAAATATCCTCGAGCTCTGGTTTCCTCAACACGTTCTCTAGCACTTTGTTTCCATCAACACATGCTCCAGCACTAACATAAAACGGAGAGAGAAAACAAGACCCAGAATCAAGCCAAACATCGGAACCCACCACACGGCTTGCCTCTAAAGACCAAGCTACTGCAGAGAGGTAGCGTCTGGCAAAGCGCTGCCTTCCTGAGGGGATGAGCACGGGGCAGCGTAAGGCTGGTACTCGAGAGCGGGACCACAGGGGAGACCTGCAAGGACCTAGAAGCTCCGAGAAACTTCTTTGGCAAATCTGAGAACTTAAAAACTTGAGTTCTCCTATCTATGAAGATGGCGCTGGAAGTGAAGAAGGAAGCCCCTGCCCCTCCCAAAACTGAAACCAAAGCAAAGGC